CTTCATTTTAGTGGACGTACAAAATATATCTCCTCTTTAATTAGGTTGTATAGTTAGTTTGTCTGCTCTGGTCTTATGAACTCTTGTTAGGTGTATTTTGGGATGACTTTGTGTATATTTACTATCTGGTTATACTTGATACTTATGAATGATATGTATATTAATCACTAAGTGTATGTTCTAATTATTGTGTACCTTACTTCTACAAAAATGTATTGGTAATCAAATACTAAGAGGAACCAATAATAATTAATAAATCATAATAAAGTGATTGTTGGTATTAAAAGTGTCACAGACATGGTGCTCCTTTTATAATAGAAAAAATAAGCACCAACATATAATTTCCTTAAAGTGAGACTTCTCTTCTCACATTCTCACAATGATGTTAGGAATCAGAATAATTGCATAAGAACTCACAACTAAAATAAAATATGAGAAAAAAGAAACAAAATCGACAATAGACAATAATAGAAATTTACTACCGAAAGAAATTATAATATCCTATTTAAATTTAAGGAGAAAAAATTAATAATATTTTCTCTCATAAATAAGAGAATTAAACTACTATGTAATGTACTAGTAGAAAAAAGAAGGAAGAGTTTTTTGGTAATTTACAAGGTAGACATGGTGCTCCTTTATAACAGGAAAAGTAAGTACCAACATATATTTTCTTGGATGTAGCACTTCTCTTCTCATATTCTCATAATCTCCCACTTTAAGATTTTTATTAAATTAATCAAATCTTCACAATACATTATTATTTTCTTCCATGTTATTATTGTAATAGACCTTCAATAGGATCACCTATATGAATACTTGTCACGGCTAACTAATTGTCATAACATTTGCTAAGTTCTTCTTGCATTACCCTAAAATACGAGACAGGATCCTTTGTAATGTGCAAGACACTCTGACAGTCACAATATATAACAATTTTATTGTTTCTTATGCCTGCGTTCCTCAATTATCCTCTTAATCCAAAAAGCTCCCTTACATGTCTGGGTGACTGCCATGTACCCAACATCTATGATAGACAAAACTATAGCATCCTATAACTGGATAACTAGTTATTGTCTCTCCAACAAAGGTAAACTCATCAAGATCACCTCCAAAACTGGAACAAACATAGCATCTGAAAACTAGTTTTGATCCTCTGAAACATAATACAACATCCAAGGTTCCTTTGATAAGAATTCTCTTGATAATACTCATGCTCTCCACCATAATTTGTCATTGATCTACTCACAGCTCCCACTGCTTGTACAATGTCTAGCTTTGTACCGATCATGGTATTCATAAGACTTCCCATCGTTGATGGATGTAGTACGTGAGACATTTCCATCCTCCCTGCTTTATTGCTAGGATTCATATTTTGAAGATAACTTGATAGATAATGGGGTAAAAACTAGCTTCCACCCTTGCATGTTGAAGCGCTGCAAGACCTTCAATAAGTATTCTTCTTCTGATAAAGTCAAACCTTCCTATCTTTTAAGTTCCGATGAATTTGCATCTCTAAAATCTTGTTTGTTAGTCCCTAGTTCTTCATATCAGACTTCCTAGCCAACTGTGTCTTCAAAACCTGGATTCAAACTTTGTTGGAGCTTACCACCAACATGTCATCCACATACAACGATAAAATGATAAAATCGTTCTCATCAAATCTATTGTAATAAGTGCAATAGTCTGAACTTAGTCTATTGTAATCAAGCTTAATCATGAAGAATTAAATCTCTTTTACTAACACCTGGACACCCAGTTTAAACCGTACAGAGATTTGGTCAACCTGCAAACCAAGTTTCCTTTTCCTTTAAGTCTTGTAGTTGGAGGACAACAATCCTTTCTCTAAGTTCACCTTGAAGAAAAATAATATTTGTATCACCGCTAACAATAACCTTGTGGACAGTGGGATCCACAAGAAATGTCCATTCACATTGTTAGCATAGTCCAAGAATTTGTTTTTCTCAAACTTTGAAAACAACAAACTTCCTCTTGTTGTGGTACACCCATAATCTGTTGGAATAATTATTGTCATTACTGACAAAATATTTGACCCCTCCTAGAAATAATACTGGCGATTCCAACATATCATAATAGACCAAGTCCAATATGTGTTTCCTCTTGGTACAATTTGACAAGGGACTCTCAAATCTTCTTCCTTGTATCATTCTTCGCAAATTTACTATATTGTTGTTGTAATTTCTTCCCACCTTTGATCTGTGATGTCCACGATCTTTCTCCAATTGATTTTACACAATTGTCTTTTCTCAAAATTGCCTTCATCTTCAATTTTCATAATAAGAAACTATTTCCATTAAAGTTCTCTATCTCATATTTTGTTGTCGTGGTTTTAACCAACTTATGCATCTTTAAGTGTGAATAATAGTACCTACTAGAACACAATAGTGTAAACCGTAACTAGTATACTAGGTAAGCTCCTTGGAAAGAGAGGTGAGTCACTAATAAGCACACTTAAATACCAAGTATTTCCTTGTCATAACTTTTTCTAGACATGCATTGTCACACTACCATACTTTATATTCAGTAACTAGAATAATTATTTTCTGATGTGAAATATCATATTAACCACAACCACATAACATACTAAGAATTTTCTCGAACACTATTCTAATGACTATAGCAGCGAAATAATATCATAAATAAGAAACTTATTATCTGCTCTGATACCACTGTTAGGAATACTATTTTAATGACTATAACAACGGAATAATATCATAAATAAGAAACTAATGATCTGCTCTGATACCACTATTAGGAATCAGAGTAATTATATAAGAACTCACAACTAAAATAAAAAATAAGAAAAGATAAATAAAACCGATAATAGACAATAATAGAATTTTACTACCGAAAGAAATTACAATACCTCTTTAAATCTAAGGAGAAAACAATAATAATATTCTCTCTAAACAATAAAAGAACTAAACTACTATACAATGCACTAGTATAAAGAATAAGGAAGAGATTTTGAGTGATTTACAAGGTAGACATGATACTCCTTTTATAGCAAGAAAAGTAAGCACCAACATATAATTTTCTTGATGTGGCATTTCTCTTCTCACATACGGTGGGATAGTGGTGCAACGGATTGATGACAAGCAGCCCAAATATAGTGATGAATGCAGTGATATGACGAACAATTGATGATAAACTTGAGTGAAGATTTGACTTTTAGTAGCGGCGTAGAGTTGAGGTAGAGAGACAAGATAATATCAATTAAGATTACTAAATTATTATAATTATTTTTAAAATTTGAAATGAATGGTGGGTTGCGAGTCAACCCACCATAACTCGGCTCGAACCCGCTTAATTCGTAGATTAAGTAAACATGGTTCATTTTTAACCTATTATCGAAAGAAATAAAAAAAAAATTGAACCCAACTTGGCTTGAATATGTGGTGAACAAAGTTATAACCCATATTAAGACCTCTAACCGCAAAAATATGTTGAAATGGAAGATTTGTTAATAAGATGGTTCAAATAGAATAAAATCTCAAGAGGAAGGGAACCATGAGAATCAACTCTTACAATAATAACTATAATTAAAGAGAAAGAGATAAGGTTATAAGAGAGAAGATTAACTCTATTTTTTTTGCTCATTTTTAATCTTAGTAGAATTTAATCAATTATATGTGTTCGTAAATTTTATTTCTTTTATTGAATGACGGTTTTCACACCTTAAAAGTATTTTTTTTATAATTATTTTTGTTGTTGCTTCTCAAAAATATTTACAAGTTTTAAAAAATTACTGTATATTTTAAATTTTTTTTTTTGTGTTCTTGTTTTCTTTATCACAACAAATATTTTCCAATTTTGTTTAGACACTCTTATAGTTTTTTTTTATTACAGAACTATTAAACTTATATTTATTATTAAATAAAAAAACATATTACAAATTTATTATATATAATTAATTATAATATTTATAATTTTAATTTATTTTCATATACTTTTATGATTGTATTAAATAATAATAATAATAAAAATACATATTTTATATTTTAATTTTAATAATATATATTAAAATATTCATTCGGTTGGTTTTTATTTTTAAATTAAAATTTGAATCGATTAGTTTAAAAAAATAAAAAATAAAAAAATCTCAATTTTAATTAATTTTATTTTTTATCGCTTTTGGATATTGTTTTTAAATATTTTCCATGGTCGTCTCTCCAGTTGTTTTATTCGCAGTTTGAAAAATGGAGAAAGCTAAGGCCTTGGAGAAGAAAGTAGCAGAAAACGAAAATCAAAACCTAGCACTGAAAGGGAAGAAACAAAAGACGAAGAATGCGTGCGAAAACACTCTACACTTGTCACTGTGATCACGAATGCTCTTACGTGGAAACATTGCAAGCAGCCACACCATAATCATGGGGGACAAAGCCAAAATTTGAAAAGAAAATCCACGCAAGCACAAAAGCGATGGCTGTGAGGCCTCACTTCCCATAGCTCAGGTGTGGCTGACATTACTTTATCTCTTTATCTTTCATACTGCTTTCTTAGCCTCAACCTTCTTGATTCCCAAATTGTATGGCAGTAAAATACCCTCTTATTATCTATCTCCTCACATATCAACTTCATTTCACACATCACAATTAATATTTTGTTAAACATTTTAATTCACTTTCTATCTTGAGAATTCACTGATATACTATATAGGTAAAGATTTTACACTATCAAAACTACTGAAAATCAGAATAATATATTTTTATTTATTGTAATCATAGTATTTGGTAGACATGGAAATCTCTAATTTAGAGATGTAATAAGCCTATTACCTCATCATGTATTTTGGCATCACTTTTATGATAGTTATTAATTTATTATAAAAACCAATAGATTTATCTTTAATAATGATTTGTAATTAGATTATCACATATTGTTAGAGATTTTAAAACCAAAGCTTAACTATTTCCATACTGATATCGTGTGAGATTGATTGTCTTACAACTATATTATGTCAATAATGATAATGATAAAAATTAGAATTTAGAAGGCAATGAAGGAGGCAAGAAGCTTGGAATATGGATAACCTTTTGGCTTTTAGAGATGAAGCTATATGTTGATATGATGTGCCATTTCAGAGCAAATCCAAGCCAGAACTGAGAGGTTCCCTCTTCATCCATTCTCAGCCTCAAGGTTCCCCGTTTCTCCCTCTTATCTTCCACCTGTGACATGACCTGGTCCCACCTTAGCATTTCATTGGTTCGCCTGCACTCTTGATCATAAAAACTGAATTTTCACATTTATACTTTTATATAATAAGGTTCTAAAGACAGAAGACACAGCCATTACTTGCTTCTGCCACATTCCACAAAAACTCTCTCAGGGTCCTCCTTCCCACGTATACTCACTGTTCTCATTTTCTCTTTATATACATATACATATATTTATGTCGTGTGTGTTTTAAGTTGGTTCTTTCAATTGTATTTTCTTAAGAATGATCTCAACTCATGCTTTGTGTTATTATCTTTACTATAAAATTGGCTTGGAAGTGGAAAAATCAAGAGGAGTGATTGGTAATCATATAGTTTTTTTCATGTGTTAAATTTAGTTATTGGTGTGCATATTACAACCCAAACCAGCTCTTTCCTCTTGTTCTGTTCGCCAATCTATTATGCTGTGTTTTCTTCATGTAAAGTTTTAGAGGGCGGGTCCAAGGTGTGTTTTCAACTAAGATTTTCAGTTACAAATATCAGAAAGTCCTTTTTTTGGAATCACTTTCTATGTTTTCTTCTTGATCATGCTATTGAATCAAGGCTCTATCCTTATAATAATAATATACGGTATTTTTATTATAACCTTTTTCTCATTCAATTTTCTGAAAAGCAGAGAATTCAGTTGTGCATCAGTTCTAGTATTTTAAGATGATAATTTTAGTTTTTCTTATTACCCGCATGAAAGGATTTGCAAAGGCTAGACACACTGAAAGCATATTTTAAATGATAATAACTATAAAAGCACGACAAAGCTGGTGATGAAAAAGAATGACTAGTTTTATTTTTTACTTCTTTTTTTCTCTTTTTATGTTGTTGTCAAGGCCATCCATACAGTTATATAATGATAAACAAAATCACCAATCATTATTTAATGATAAAATCCTCAACTTAATCAGTTTTTGTTCTCTCCTTGATATCAACTTTGTGTAACTTACCTTCTCAACGTCTAGATTTTTTAGCATTTAAACATGAGTTCCTATGTTATTATATCTCAACACATATTAGTTGATTAAGGTTCATATTTCAGTTACAAATCTCCTCAGCCATGGAAATTTGGAATAATGAAACTGTAAATCAGTAGTGCATGCACAAAGTTTATGACCAAAGATTCAAAAGGTGGTTAAAACTGACTTTTTGATGGATTTTCTTTAAGGAATTCTTTGGTGGGAAAATCAAAAGAAGTGGTTGAAATTTCAAGCAAGAGAAGATGGACAATTTCTATGCACCAGGAAAAAACCATCTCTTTGTTCCGGGGCCAGTTAACATCCCGGACCAGGTCATTCGGGCCATGAACAGAAACAATGAGGACTACCGTTCTCCAGCTATTCCAGCTATGACAAAAACTCTGCTTGAGGATGTCAAGAAGATTTTCAAGACCACAACTGGAACCCCATTTCTCATCCCTACAACTGGTATATATAAACAAGCCATATTGATCTTAGTGTTATGCATATAGTCTTTTTAGTTTCATAAAAACAAGGTAAAAGTGACTTAGTCCCTAACCTTTTAAAAGGGTGCATTTGAGTCCTTAACGTTTGCAAAGTATGGTGAAAATTAATGGAATCTATCTCTATGCTTTGAAAATGATAAGGATAAAGTGCATGTTTTTCAATGTCAGGGATTAAGTTGTAACTAACAAAAATTTAGGGTTTATTTTGCAATTTTTCATAAAATCAATTAGGCTATATTATCTTCATAATAAGGATGAAAATCACTTCAATGATTATACTTTTTAGGTTAAATTAACCAGCAAGTCCTTGAACTATTTGAAAATTTTTAATTAGCTCTACAAATTAAAAAAATATAATTAGATCTTTGGTGTGGCATTTCTTTTTCAAGTTGAGTCTCAGGATTTTTAAAAACTACAACAAATTGTCATTTTCTAGTAGTTTCAAACCTTCATAACTAATTCCATAGGTCCAACACGAAATTCTTACAAGATCAAGGACCCAATTATATGTTTTTAGTAAGGGACCTGATTAAACATTCCCAAATGGTTTGAAGACCTACTAATTAATTTAACCTAATGTTAACATAGATATTTTATATGCATCAAACTGCATACTTAATCAACTCTATTATTCATCCGTGCTCAGTTTACTCCTTATATTATATACACTTTAGAGACCATGACTTGAAGGTTTAAAATTATTTATTAACCGAAAATAACTGCAAAATTCCCTCATATTCTAGAATAATGATTCTATTAAATATTCTAATTCTTATATATCTTTATTGTTATTGTGTATGTGTTTTGGAGATTACAAGCAGAGAATAAGGAGGTTTTATAAGTACAAGTAATTTGTTATTCACATGGTCATAGTTTACTAGTTTTCTTGTCATTAAGTAATGCTTTTGAATATGGTTAAGGTACTGGTGCTTGGGAGAGTGCTCTCACAAACACACTGTCTCCTGGTGATCGTACTGTATCTTTCCTAATTGGCCAATTCAGCTTGCTTTGGATTGATCAGCAGCAACGTCTGAATTTCAATGTTGATGTTGTGGAAAGCGAATGGGGCCAGGGTGCTAAGCTTGATGTTCTGGAATCAAAAATTGCTTCAGATACTGCTCACACTATAAAGGCAATTTGCATTGTTCACAATGAGACAGCAACTGGGGTCACCAATAACCTGGCCAAAGTAAGACAAATTCTCGGTGAGTATTTCATCTAATAGACTTAAATATAGCTTTTTCTAGTTGAATCTGCACATGCGTACCCTTTTATTCTCTATAAACTGCCAGAGCCACAGAATCACATGTTCGAACAAATTTCAGCATAAACACTTATAGAAGAAAAAAGTAAAAAGAAAAAATGGAATAGGTATCTTCACAAGCTAACATTAGCTTATGCACAAGTTAAAAATAATTTTTTTTAAGGAAACTATGAGAGAATTTCTAAATATTAGTTTATGAAAAAAATAATTTTAGTTTATCGAGAAACTAATTTTAATTTTTTTTTCAGATTTTTCTCTCCTATAAGTGTCTGTGGAGATGTTCGTCCAAACAGACAATTTGTCTTTTCGCTTTGATATTCAAAGAAATTATTGCTCATAACTGGTCTTAGTTCCATTAGACATTTTGGTTGCAGTTTTATTTGTTTTATTTTGTCCTTTAATATCTATTAGTATCAGAAGGACTACTTATGTTGGTATTTTGTCTAAACACATAACTGCCCTGTTTTTACTCAATGTATGCATATCTGCCAAACTGTCCCATCAGTATTTATAGTGAGATATATTGTTGCGTAGATCATTAGCATTTAACTTGACTCTTGTAAACTACGTATGCGTATGAAAATTGAGCAAATTATTCACATGCAACATCACTAGTGAACTCAAATGCTATATTTTTTACTTGAAAATCAATTATTATTTGCATTCATAATTTGATATAGGTTGTCATTCTTTGGTGAAAATCTGTTCTTAGGGCCTCTTCCAGGTCTGCCAATGTATCAAATTATTTGCGATTACCTTCTGTTGGATTTTAAATGTTGTTTTCTCCTTTATGCTCTACATGAAAAGCTTCTCACATTTTGTTGTGGACACCCAGATTCCTACCGGCATCCAGCCCTCCTTATTGTTGATGGAGTGTCTTCCATTTGTGCTCTTGATTTCCGCATGGATGAATGGGGAGTAGATGTGGCCATAACTGGCTCTCAGAAGGCCCTTTCCCTTCCCACTGGGATAGGTATTGTGGTTGCAAGCCCTAAAGCAATTGAGGCCTCAAAAACTGCTAAATCACTTAGAGTTTTCTTTGACTGGAAAGACTACCTGAAATTCTACCAGTTAGGAACCTATTGGCCATATACTCCTTCCATACATTTGCTGTATGGTCTGAGAGCTGCTCTTGATTTGATTTTTGAGGAAGGACTTGAAAATGTGATTGCAAGGCACAATCGTTTAGGCACGGCAACCAGGTAGGCATGATATGCTAGTTCAAAAATCATAGTGAATGACTTCCACATGTAAAAGATGAATTTTATTTCCATGCACCATCATTGTATAGAAATAGAAATCTTATACTATCAATCAATAAACTATCATGTGTTAGTTTAAAATTAAATGACAGTTTTACAGTGTCAGTGTTTACTCGAAAAAGTTGTCTAGATTTTGACAAAATGGTCCAAGGTTTATCTAAGTAGACAATGGTTTTGGCTTTATGTTATAAGACAATGAATCTGATAGGTCCTCAATATGCTAAATGCAGACTTGCTGTAGAGGCATGGGGTTTGAAGAATTGCACCCAAAAGGAAGAGTGGCACAGTGACACAGTGACTGCCGTTGTTGTTCCTTCTTACATTGACAGTTCTGAAATTGTTAGAAGAGCATGGAAGAGATACAATTTGAGCTTAGGTCTTGGACTGAACAAGGTTGCTGGGAAGGTTTTCAGAATTGGACATCTTGGCAACTTGAATGAGGTAATGTTGATTTCCAAACTCCCATCTGCATAATAATGGACTAAAAGTTTAATTTATCTGTATAGAAATAAAGAAGTTTAAAAATCAATCCTCAAGTCAAAGGAAAGGTAATCATCGGATAACCAATATTGCATACTTAAAAAATATGAATAGTTAAACTACTCTTATTCTGTATCTAAAGGAAAATGTTAAAAAAAAAAACATAAATGTTTTCTTGTTCTCGGTTGATAGATGTGAATCTTTAAAATATTGTCATCGTAGCTATGATGTACTTTCTGTTCAACTTCAATCGTGCTTGTGCATAAACAAACAATATCAAATTATGAATGTGAAACTTGCTTGTTACTTCTGAGTTCCAAGTTGCCAACCATTTTATATTGTTACTTGTAATATTTTTCAGTTACAACTCTTGGGATGTTTAGCTGGTGTGGAGATGATACTCCAAGATGTGGGTTACCCAGTAAAGCTTGGAAGTGGAGTTGCTGCTGCCAGTGCATACTTTAAGAACACTATTCCTCTCATCCCTTCCAGGATTTGAGTCACAAGCCATTCTTGTCTTTACTTCCTTTCCTGCTCATTGAAAAGTTCTGTAAAATATATATATATATATATATATATATTATCCTTTTTTACCTTCCTTTGAAAATGAACATACTCTCTACTTTCAACTTCAATGCATTGCTTCTTTCATTGTCCTGTATATAAAAAAAATCATTACATCTTGTGACCTTATTTGTGACGGTTCATGGTCACCAAATTTATCATAAAGTCCGTTGGCAAAATTAATTTTCATTACTCACGTGTGTTAAGGTTAGTGAGTTGTGTAATGTTTTCTTTAAAAGCTGCACTTAGGTTGATATCTAATTAATCGACGATGTTGAAGCATCTGTTAATTATAAAAAAATGTTATGAAAATTAAATTCAAATAATGAACATTTACCACTTGCAGCAAGGTGCAGGGTAATTCTTGGAAGAGTTTCGGTTCATTGGATGGTCCAAGATCGACCATAACAAAAGATTGTTTTTTATTTTTATATTTTATGCATACATCTTATATGTGTTAATAACCATCAAGAAAAATATTTTTATTTTTTTCTTTTTCAATTGAGTAAACATGGATCCAATAAATTGTAACTCACTTACAAAGATCAATAAATTTAAATTATAAATATTAAATTATTAATTATAATTATTTATTTTAACATATAAATATAGTAATTTTTTAATTTATCTAATAAAAATATTAATTAATAATACAAAATTTAAAATTATTTATATAACTAAATATATATTTATATATATATATATATATATATATATATATATATATATATATATATAATATTAGTAAGTTTATTAGATCGTGAGTCTATCTTTTAACAAGAGGGACTGAAATTTCTAACTCAATTGACCGACTAACTTATCTTATCCTATTTTTTTAACTAAAGATGAAACGAACAATTTATTTAACTAAAGATGAAACGAATAAAAATGAGGTTGACTATATTATTTTGTCTTCCCTATTTATATTATAGGAACTATTTTATTTTTTATTAAATTGTCATAAAAATATTTTTCACAATAGTAAGTTTGAGACTTGATAATAAAGAATAAAGTTGAAAGAGTTTAATTTATTAACGTGAGTAGCTCAAATTTAAATCATTAAAAAAAATAAAAACAATTTCTAGATCAAAATAAGATGAGAATAAAAAAAAAAATGAGACCAAAGTTTAGAAACAAATTAAAACTCTATATCATTATTGTGAGGTTTGCGCTTAAACTAAAACAATAAAAAAAAATCATAAATATTTCATTTACTTTTTAAAATTATTAAATTTTTATTTTAGTCCTTTATTTGGAACTAAAACATAATGAAGTTATGTTAGGGATCAAAATTAAAAAAAAAAAAAACTAGGAGCATGAATGAAACTCTAAAATATTTCAAAGATTTATTTTAAAAAAATAGTTTTTGAAATTAATATAGATTAATATAACTGCAAGATATAATGTTTATTCATTTGGTAAAAAAAAAAAAACTCACCATTTAAATGTGTAACATTTTGAAGAAAAAAAGAGGAGTGCAAAAAGCAACACAATATACTTTTTATTTATTTTGATTCATTCATGCATTATTTCTAGCTTTCTTGTATTTTGAAAATTTTAGTACCATTTAGGGTTAGCTTTAATTTCACACTTAAGTGTCAGCATTAGAATTTCTTTTATGTCTGGTTAAATTATATTTTCTTAAAAAAGTGTTTTTTAATAAATAATCATTTATTATCATTTTTAATGTGTAAGTAAATTTATTTAAAATAGCAGAAGTAGACAAAAAAATTTCTATTTGTTTTAGCAACTTCACAAAAAAAAAATGATGCGTCATCAGAAAATTTTATTTTGTTTTTAAGTACGAAATTTATATAAAAATCACTTGTAAATCACTTTTTATAAGTACTTTTTTTTAAATCAAAATAAACATTTGTTTCGGGAAAAAATATTATTTGGAGATAAGGGAATATATAAATATTGGTGGAATCAAAACATGTTATTGAAAAACAATATATAAATATAAAAAGAGTAAAATAACATAAAAAAATAAAATTAGAAATATATAAATAAACATTATTTTAAAAATCGGATTAGATAGGTTGATTTAATCAGTCTAACCAAATTAGTAAGTTATTTTTAAATAATTGAATTTTAATTAAATTAAGATAAAATCAAAAAAATTAAATTCTAATCAATTTTGGTAAAAAAAAAATTAAGTTAAATTTTTATTAATATATGTTTTTTTATAAAATATATAATATATTTTAATTTTTTTCTTTTTTTTCTCATAATAATTATGTCAACTTTAAATAATAATTATATTATCTTATTTTTATTTTATTTTAATAATTATTTATTTTATTCTTTTTAATACATTTTATATTTATAATTTTCTTTATAATTTTAGAGATCATCACACTAACTTTATTATTATTATTATTTAAAAAAACCATGTACTTATTCTATTATAAAAATATTATTTTATTAAATTCAATTAAATCTTAAATATTTTTATTTATTATATGATCTGATTTAAAAAAAATATATTTAATAATCATAAAATTTTAGAAAATATATCATATTTTTAAAATAAAAGTAAATTGAAATATATTAGTTGTAATTTCAGAATTTTATTATATAAATACATTATATACTTTTTCTTTTCTTAGAAAAAGAATTAAAAATACTTGAACAGTACTAATGTTGTGTCTTTAAGACTACAAGCATTGAATTATGTGCAACTTATTCATACCTATCAATGGAACCAACACCTCTTTGGGAATATCCTTATCTTTATTTTTATTTATTTTAATTATATTTAATTGTGTTTTGGTGGTTGTTCCATCAATGTTTTCTTAAAATGGAACTATTCAACTGGGGTTTAATTAATGTTTTTAAAATCACACTATTAAACTAGGGTTTAATAGATATGAGTTTAAACGTTTAACTCGGTCTAACAAATTTAATAAAATAATATTTTTATAATATAATAAATATACAATAAATTTATTAGTATTAGTATTTTTTATAAAAATAATAAAAATTACTATCATAATATAATATAAGATAAAAAATTAAAATATATTATATCTTTTATAATAAAAAATTAATCTTAATTTGTTTTTTTCTTTTTACTAAAATGATTCGATCAAAAAATTTCACCAAATTTTTTTATTTTATTGATTTTATTCCATTTTTTTAGTTTTATTCTAATTTAATTAAAATCATTATTTGAAATCAACATGATCAATTTCTAATTTGATTTTTACTCAACTAATTTCTAATTCAATACCCTATTCAACTAGTTGAAATCGTTATCGGTACGATAGCATCCAAAAGAATCACCTACTTATTATGAGCTTTAAGGGAAAATCGAAAAATGGTTTTAAAAGAAAATTTTCAAACTTTACAGCAGAGGACATTTACATCTCGTATCAAATTTAATTATTTTAATATTTAATTATTAAAAAAAAAGTCTAAGGTATAGCGTAGATAAACTTTTTTCAAAATACATAGGAATTTATTTTGTTAGAAATTTCTGTCTATTAACAATTATCTGATCATAAATACATAAATACGTAGATACTTATATTTGGGTTGAAATAAATAAATAAATATATGTTAAGTAACTATAATAATGAGTGCATTTTGAGAAAATAAAATTATTATTTACTATCCCATTCAACTATATATCTAATTAATAAATAGGTTTTAGAAACTAGCAGCACAGGGTTAAAGTCTAAAAAAATTGATAATTGGCTCAAATTTATATTTTAAAATAAATTATAATTTTTTTCTTAATTTGATAGTATATTAAACTAATCAACTAATAAATCAATTTTAATTTGATAAAAAATAAAAAAAATATTAACATGTTGATATAAAAATAATTAATGAAAAAAATATTTAATAAAAATTAAAAAGTATTTTTTAAATTAAGTTGTATTAATGAAATTCATAATCATTTTAAATATAAAGATTGAATATATAAATTATAAGAAAAGATATTTATTCACTCTCAAAATTAAGATCAGAGTTAAAAGCTTACTTTTAATTATTATTATTATTTTTTAATAATTGAATAATATAAAATAGTAATTTATTTTAATCATTAAATCTTAGAATAAGTAAATATTAGATACTTATTTTTATATATATATATATATATATATATATATATATTAAATAATATTATTTTTATTATTATTTAAAAAATAATTATTATTTTATAAAATAGATGATTTATAAAGTTACTTGTTAACCTAAGTTTATTTGAGTTATAGTCTCAATGGTCGAATCAGTTAATTTAATTTTGATCACAATTATTTTGTCTATCCTAGTCTATTTATTAGACCTTTTAAATTATCTAATGGATTAAAGTTATTTTCACATTCAAATAATTAAGTATTTATTAGAACTTTTAAATTATCTAATGGATTAAAGTTATTTTCACATTCAAATAATTAAGTATCACTTGACATGCATGCAACAAATATGATTTTCATTTAGGTTATAATTATCCTATATAATATCTTTTTAGATATTTATAATTCATTTGACGTGAAAAAGAAAAATGAGGAATAAAAAGGAAAACTTAAATTAAATTGAAGAAAAAAATAAATACATGTTATATTTTGTATTTTTTTTCATTATTTCTTTTATACTCACCTTTTACTATCTTACTTCAATATTTTATTATCAGTTCTTTGGATTTAACAGCCATAGAAGAAATTTGATGTTTGATATTTTGTGATGTTTCATTTATTGCATTTGAAACTAATTTGGATTAAAACGTAATTTTTCCATTTAATGCAATATAATAAGATTAATACCTATTTTATACTATTATATTATTAAAAAAATAATCTGTAATCTTAATTAAGTATATATATATATATATATATATATATATATATAATATCAAAAAATTAATTAATATTTATCATTATAAATATTTATATAATAAAAATAAACTTATTAAAAAATTATTTT